AATGTATTTGTTGCCATCGTTCGTCTCCGGGAAAGGACCAGCCACGTCGATCGCTATTCGTTCGAAGGGACTACCAACATTGTACTGGCGCATAGGGGCTTTACCACGCTTTTGTGGCCCATTAATGGCTGCGCAAATGTCACATTTCTTACACCAGGCCCTCACATCTTCTTTGCAGTTCACCCAGTAGAACCGTTCACGCAGCTTGCCAAGTGTCTTGGTAACACCAAGATGTCCTCCGCTGGTTCCATTGTGAACTTCCTCCAAGACTTCTGGGACCCTCTTCTTTGGAATGACGATCTGTCTTCTCTCTCTTGCCCTCCGGTCTCTCGATCACACGGCGAAGTAGTCCGTTATCTATTACCAAGGAATTCCACTGGGCCCAGTACGACTTCACGTTCGGCGAATATCTGCAAACTTCCCCCCACGTTGGTCTCTGGTCCGCGTTTTTCCAGTTAATCACCAAGCCCAACTCTGGATCGCTGATTTGGTCATTTGCAAGATCTTCGGTTTGCCAAGTATCACCAACCACGGTCGTCCTTAAGACTTTCACTTCTTTCTCTTCTTTGCAACGATTTCCCATCTGTCCGCAATTCCAACAGCGAATCGGTCCCCCCTTCTTGCTCATATACTGATCCAGTACTTTCCGCACAATCCTTTCCACTTTGGAATCGTCGGAACACTCCTCAACAGCCCGTACAAATCCTAGAGACCTAGAGCATTCTTTCGCGGCCTCAAATTCCAGGGCACGTGCTAGGGCATCTCCCAAATGCGTTGGATGAGCTAAAAGAAGTGTTTGCCTTGTCTCGTTGTCACGTAAACCATCAATAAAAGCCTGTACTTTTAAGCGCTCCATAACATTTTCGGGCATAGCAGGGTACGCAAGGCGAACGAGGCGGGCTACGTCGGCTTCAAACTCCTGCAGAGACTCATTTGACTTTTGAATGCGATTTTTTAGCTGGGAATGATAGACATGTTCCAAATGAGCCTGGCCGTACCTCATTTCTAAATGTCGTACCAATAGCTGATAATCTCCCTGTTCCGATGGTGACAGTGTCTGCAGAATGTCAGTCGCATCTCGCAGTGCGATAGTCAAAGCAGTAGCCTTTTCAGCGATTGTCCATCCGTTCGCTCTCGCAGCGGCCTCAAACTGGCAAAAATAATTGGCCCAAGCGGTTTTTCCGTCAAACTGTGGAGGCTTAATAACTGACTTTGAGATATACTTATTTTCGACTAGTTTCGGCACCTCCGATGTTTCTTGACATTTTGGTGAATTTGACTTCGCTATTTCTTCTCTTAAAATTTCGATTTTTCTATTTACATCGTCCTCAATTTGTGTTATTTTGTCTTGTAGTTCCGTAGAATTCTCTATAATTTCTGTTATCTTTTCTTCTAAATTAATTATTTTATTATTAAAGCTGGCCTGTATGTCTTTAGAATTTTCTGCGATCTTATCTTCTAAAATATTAATTTTATCACTGATTTTCTCTTCTAAATTAACTTCCAAGTTGTCGTTTAAATTGTCTTGTAAATTTTTCAATGACGAGTCAAGGTCACCTTCCAGCTCGAAGTAAAATGTGTCAGGATCCTCACCTTCCTCCACCAAAACGTCTCTCAGTCTAGCTTGCAAAATGCTTTTCTTTCCATCTGTCTCGCACTCTCTCTCTTCCAATATGCATTTCAGTTCGGACACTTTCAAGTCTTTCAACAATTTTTTCAGAGCCATGGTCAGTCTTTTTATTCTTCTAGTCTATCACACACGCCACACTTGACACCAATTGTTACGTTTTTTCGTCGGTTCCGTGTGGATAGAAAGTCACAATTTATTTAAACACTATTTATTTAACACTAATTAACAAAAACAATAACGATAAAAGACTTATAGAACTATTTACAAACGATTTATAACTAAGAATTTATTTTGAATTTTAGCGCGTCAACTGTATATTTATAACTGCCCCCTGTAGGCCACCGCCGCCGGCTTTTATACCGACAGGTAAAGAACTCTAGAATTGTCCATTGATCGTTAGGTGCGTAGAGAAGGTTTTCGAATGTTCTCGTATGTACTAGTCCATTCCAGTGGGACTCGATTCTTCTCGAACGAATGAATCATTGCGGTGTTATGTTAGGTCGAGTCCACACCGACTCGCAACAATATTTTATGCGGCTCCATAACTTAATATGACAAAAAATGTGTTCCTTTTATATTTATATATTTTATATCTTTTTGTATTGTTTATATTTTTACGTGTATTATTTTGTAATATCTGTTAAACGATGTGCTTGCCATACGATAAATAAATAAATATGACAAAAAAACAATTTTTGGAAGTCAGCTTTGTAAAAACATTTTTTTTTCCTCAAAAAGTATGCACGGTGGCGTTTTTTACAAGAGGCAAAAAATGCAGTAACAGAGACCATTTTTTGAAAAGAAAATCGGCCGTCGCGTCGGTGGAGTTGGAAAATATTTATACTAAAATTTATGTAGGGGTGGGGGTAGTTTTAATCCCTTCCCTACTTTTTCTTAAACTTTGTAAAAGTCAAATGTTACCCAACTAGCATTTATAGTGGCAGATACGTAACTGATACTATCAAAACCACTACAAAGTGGACGGCTACGTCGTATATTCGTAGCTGCTAAGTAACTGTGACTAAAATGGGGAAAGATTTTGAGTAGCCGGGTAGCGTCTTGGGTAGTTTTTGTCACTAAAAGAGTTACTATGATGTGTTACTATAAAGTAGCCTACTGGTGAATTCAACTTATCCGTTACGAAGCTGCCTAGTCGCGGGTTCGTGGCAGTCAAGTGTTAGCCACCGACATGCGACGCGACATGTGGAACTTTCGTTAAACTGTTGAACTTAAAGTCCCTAGATATATAAAGTAACCGCAATTGGTTTGTTCAATGTTGCAAACCAAACCAAACCAAACCAAATCGTATTCGTTGTTCCAAACCAAACCAAACCAAACCAAAATGGGGAATTTTGGGGAATTTCTGGAAAAACTGTAGTGGTAGGACTGTTTAAATGTCACATTTGTCTGAATTTGTCATGTCAAATGTTGAGAATTTTTGTCATGTCAAATGTTCATCAGACCAAAGGAAGGATAATTATTTAAAAGAATAAGTTATGTTATGATACATATATAGATTTGGATGACATTGCTTCAGGTGGTTTTACCAGTCAGTCAGACTAACAGGGATATTAATCAAAACAATGAAAAAAAGCTCAAATAAATTTAATCCTAATAACAAGAATGTTGTTTATGCATATGCTAACTATAGTCTGTCCAACGAGAAGATCCTTGACAGTGATAGATGTGTCTGTCATTTTAATTTCAAAGCAGTTTATTTTATTTTACAAAAAAATAAGTTGGTACAACTGGAACGAGCAGGAAATTAATATATGTATTTAAAATTTGACTGACAAGTAACTTCAAAATATTGTGAAAAAAAACTGTATAAAACTGAAAAAATATAATCGAGTTATTTTATTTAATAAAAAACGGTATGTGTTAATACAAAACAAACAAAAACAAGACACCACATACCAAAAAATATAAAAAAGAACTATTTCTTACTTTCAAGCTTTATGAAACTTCCCGCATTTATGATTATATTTATCAATATAACTTATGTACAAATACAAATTTGTAATATTCCGCCGGAATAAATAAAACAACATAAATAAAACAAACTATTTTATTAATAATAACACTTACCAAATTTTATACCTCACAGGTTGATTAATTAACTTTAATCTTAATTTTTTTAAACCAGTACCTTTTGACATTATTTTTCTGCAGTACTAAAATCCATTATTTACCTATCGTGTGATGTCGATATTTTACAGCTACTCCAGTTTTTAGTATGGGTTTAGTATGGTCCTTCTACCATATTCGAGATGCACTTATCTACGACGAGATGGTATACGAACTTTATTGATAGTAACTTTATTGGTGTATCTGTATAAGACTTTCTGCCTTGGCAGCGATTATTAACCATAAACTGTGCTCTGTTTTCTACAGTTAATTTTCACTCGATTTTTCCTCCACTTGACTTCAAAGGACACAAAACACACGTAATAACACGAATCAAATGCATCATCCACCAAAACGCAGGGTATTTGACAAAAGTTGTCACAAAATTATAACCTATAATTTGGCAAGACTTTGACAAACATCAAAAATCTAAAGGCGAGTTCATACGCATCGGCGTCCATTTGTCGTTCATCGTTCCGTCAAACCAATAAAATTGAAATACGATCTGTCATTTTTGAAATAAACCAATAAAACTGGTTAAAAACAACAAGTGACGACGCATGACGAATTTATATTTAAATCCATCCATAGTTAACTTAAAAATTATTAGAAACTTTTTTTAGTAAAATAAATAGATTGGTATGGGACGTCATCTGCTTTTCTTCTGTCCATCGTCTGTCGAAATCTTACCTGAGAAAAAAAACAGAGTATATATAGTTATTTTCATGGACTTAAATAGATTAGTTTTTATGTATTTATTGATAGTAATTAATATTTTTTGGTTGATATTGTAATTACTAATAAAAAGTAAACAATATAATGTAAGCATGTAAAGTTATATTTAAAAATTTGGTCTTATACTGTCAGTTATAAATAAAAGTGTGTGATTTAAATTTGATTTTTATACATGACATAAAATTGTTAAGATTCATTTGAAGTTTTACATATTGTCGAGGTAAAATTATGCCTACTTAATTTATGTATAACAATAATTGCAGTTATTTCAATGTTAAATTTATAGCAGCATAACTTTTTTATTATAATGATACTTAAACATTATGACACTTGTTTTAAAAATATAACATTAAATTGCAGAGTAAAATATATTTTAATTGTATTATGTGGTATTAACTTGCTTTTATTCAACTAATAATAAATTTGTTGTATAATAATCACTCCATAACATACAAACCTTAATTATACAGCATACATAAAGAGCTCCTATGCGTTTCAAGCTTCTTTTTAAGTTATTTTTAAATTAAGTGCACAATTACATACCTAGAATGTAGAATGTTTAGAAGAGGAGTCAATCATTACATACCTAAAATGCCGAAACTACCTGAAGTAATACTAATTGAAACAATCTTTCTATCAATATATTAATATATTTCAAAAATAGCAGGTATGTATCATATCAATTTAATTATTACATTTATTTGTTTCAACCATGGTTCAAAATTTTCTCGTATAAAAGCCGGCCTTCAAATTTAAGTTTGTAGCTTATTCATAGTTCCAAAGACTTTCGTTAAATCATGCTTATTTGTCAAAACTAACTACAGCATAACTGGTATAATAGGGAAAGTTTACTTATGGTATAGGTATCCCGTTCTCATCAACAAACAAAGTTTTTCCAATTGTTTCGACTGAATTAAGTACTAAAATGATAAATGTTATTCCAAATTTATTTCTTCTTACCTATTAACTTACTTCTGTTGGCGTACTTTGCGCTAAAAGGTAACATAAAATATATGCTAATACAAATGAAAAACACTTGTACGGAAACCATTCGTTTATAACCTCTTAACATATATAGGCCTAAAAAATTAAATTTATGACATTGAATATTAATAATTGACGTTAAAATGAAGGTAAACTGTAGATAATAAACGTAATTCTATTACAATTAATAAATATTTTATTTTACGGCTTGCCTGTCAATGTTGGTCGGCCATATTGGCGCCGGACCGACCAGCTGCTTAAAAAGCCGAAAGAGCGAAATGTTGGCCTCCTTTTTAAATTTGCCGCTAGTTTTGGCGCCAATATGGCGGTAATTGGGGTACTTTACATATCTAGGGACTTTAGTTGAACTTAAAGTCCCTAGATATATAAAGTACCGCAATTACCGCCATATTGGCGCCAAAACTAGCGGCAAATTTATAAAGGAGGCCAACATTTCGCAGTTTCGGCTTTTTAAGCAGCTGGTCGCTGGCTGGTCGGTCCGGCGCCAATATGGCCGACCAACATTGACAGGCAAGCCGTAAAATAAAATATTTATTAATTGTAATAGAATTACGTTTATTATCTACAATTTACCCTCATTTTAACGTAATATCAGGTTGTATATTAATATTCAATTTCATAAATTTAATTTTTTAGGCCTATATATGTTAAGAGGTTATAAACGAATGGTTTCCGTACAAGTGTTTTTCATTTGTATTAGCATTTATTTTATGTTACCTTTTAGCGCAAAGTACGCCAACAGAAGTAAGTTAATAGGTAAGAAGAAATAAAGTTGGAATAACATTTAGAATTTTAGTACTTAATTCAGTCGAAACAATTGGAAAAACTTTGTTTGTTGATGAGAACGGGATACCTATACCATAAGTAAACTTTCCCTATTATACCAGTTATGCTGTAGTTAGTTTTGACAAATAAGCATGATTTAACGAAAGTCTTTGGAACTATGAATAAGCTACAAACTTAAATTTGAAGGCCGGCTTTTATACGAGAAAATTTTGAACCATGGTTGAAACAAATAAATGTAATAATTAAATTGATATGATACATACCTGCTATTTTTGAAATATATTAATATATTGATAGAAAGATTGTTTCAATTAGTATTACTTCAGGTAGTTTCAGCATTTTAGGTATGTAATTGTGCACTTATTTTATAAATAACTTAGAAAGAAGCTTGAAACGCATAGGGGCTCTTTATGTGTGCTGTATAATTAAGGTTTGTATGTTATGGAGTCATTTTATACAACAAATTTATTATTAGTTGAATAAAAGCAAGTTAATACCACATAATACAATTAAAATATATTTTACTCTGCAATTTAATGTTATATTTTTAAAACAACAAGTGTCATAATGTTTAAGTATCATTATAATAAAAAAGTTATACTGCTATAAATTTAACATTGAAATAACTGTAATTATTGTTATACATAAATTAAGTAGGAATAATTTTACCTCGACAATATGTAAAACTTCAAATGAATCTTAACAATTTTATGTCATGTATAAAAATCAAATTTAAATCACACACTTTTATTTATAACTGACAGTATAAGACCAAATTTTTAAATATAACTTTACATGCTTACATTATATTGTTTACTTTCTATTAGTAATTACAATATGAACCAAAAAATATTAATTACTATCAATAAATACATAAAAACTAATCTATTTAAGTCCATGAAAATAACTATATAGTTAGCATATGCATAAACAACATTCTTGTTATTAGGATCAAATTTATTTGAGCTTTTTTTCATTGTTTTGATTAATATCCCTGTTAGTCCTGACTGGTAAAACCACCTGAAGCGATGTCATCCAAATCTATATATGTATCATAACATAACTTATTCTTTTAAATAATTATCCTTCGTTTGGTCTGATGATAATATATTGTAGATTTATCTAAACTTCTTGCTGCAAAATGTTGAAAACTAAACTACACTAAACATTTTAGGGAATGATTACGTAGAGATTTCACTTACACTTAGCATCCTTTTTAAAAGATATGTATGGTAGTTTGCAAGTAAGGTCTTTGTCTTGTTCTAGATTAGATTTCTAGAGGTTGATTTCGGCCTGACCCACTGCGACCTTCTCAGATCTATTGTGGTCTTGTCTTGTTCTATAATGAAGTTTTATGTACCAGTAGGTTATACTACAAATAAGATTGTTAAAAATATTCACTGGAGCATAAATAAATTCAATCCACTACCTAACGTGTATTGAATATCGACGATGTTAGAAAACACATCAAATGGCGGCCTTTTCTTGTAATACACATTTCTTCACTAAAGATATCGACGCCTATACATTATTAACTAATAAATTTGTAGCATTTTAGTGGCTTTATAATTATTTTAAAATATGTGGATAAATATTTTTATTCTGAAATTGACAGCTTCTCAACATTTGACATGACAAATTCAGACAAATGTGACATTTAAACAGTCCTACCACTACAGTTTTCCCAGAAATACCCCAAAAATCCGCCATTTTGGCGCCAATAACATTGAACAAACCAATTGCGGTACTTTATATATCTAGGGACTTTAGTTGAACTTTATTCGCAGCGACCTCTTCATGCAATGTCACATTTCATAAAAATAAATGTCATGATGCAAATAATTATGGAAGCCATTATTATTTTTTCGTTATTTGTTATTTACGGTGCGATTTTAACGCTATTTTTAGGTAAATTCCAGAACGCAATCAAATGGGTTTATATAACAAAATTTTCGAGCGCCTCCAAAAATATTTCAAATTATTATATTATTTGCAATAGAAACTCATGTTTGTAATTAAAAAAATATAATAATTTGCTTGAAACCAGGGTCAAACTTTAAAATATTAGTCCACTGTCAGAAATAACAAAATAACTAAGGAAAAAAGCTTTAATCTAGGTATATTTAGCTTAAAAACGCATAATGTTTGAGCCGTTTGGCTGTTCGTCTAAAAATTCATAAAAAAATATGGCCGTTTAATCCGAAAGATACTTTATAGTTCCATATGCTTCCACAAAGTACCGGGAACAATAACATATTAGGCCATTTGGACCTTTGAAATCTTCGGATAGATAAAGTGGCAATTGTAGCTATCCAAAGGCGACTTTATAGAAACAATAACTTTTTTGGAACTACATGGTCAAAGATTCTTTGGAACCATAAAGTGATTTTTTCCAAGGAACTTCCCTGCGTCACCAAATTGCCACTTAATTGGAGCGTTATATATATCAGAGCTCTGAATAATATAGAAACACTAATAATAGAAAATGCACAATAAGTAAAAAATAACTTCAAAGGACAAGGCGGAACCTTATAGTGGCACCAATGGAATGTATAGTCGCCACAGCCGCGATCGGTGTAGCATAACGCTCCAATTAAGTGGCAATTTGGTGGCGCAGGGAAGTTCCTTAAAACATTAAAATTAACGCCCACTCTTTTAGCTCTTGTTTTATATTGTTGGTTCTCAAATTAGTTCTCCTCTGAGATTCAGTTTTGAGATGAACTAACACTACACTCATCTACAGAAACAGCTTCAAAAATGTCTGTCACTACCTGATTTATGATGTTCATCAGTAGGATTATAGAAAGATGTAGTTTTTGTTTCTGTTGATGCATCAGCTCGCAATGATTCCTTTTAATTCTTCGGTGGAAAGTACTGGAATATCTAAATTTATTTTTATTCATCTTAGGGATTTTACAAAATTTTAATAAAGCTCAAAAGCAAGTAAAAGAAAACACTAAAACTGAGAGAACAAAATCTCATTCAAATCGGATTAACAGTTCTTAAAATATCTGAAAAAATGTGTTAATTTGATGCCCCCTAGCGGACAAACGAAGCACTTTTGTATAGAGGTAAATTGTATTCAATGAACTTATTTTGACTCCAAAAATACGTAGTAGTTCTCTGTCAATGTAATATTGGAACACCCTGTATAGTTCATATCAAATAAGTTTTAGTCAAGTGTTTAAGCTTCGCCGGCACAGCGTTGCCCACTTTTATATATTTTCTTTTAATCAAATATTTTAGGAAACAAATATAAATTAATTATAAATATACACTTGCGTGCATAGAAATCAGCCCAAGGCTAACTTTTGAAGTTAACTATATATTTTTTAGATTCTATTTGTCAGATTAAGAAAAAATATATGCTGTTTGAAAGACAATTTCATATTCTTTGAAAAGACTTTAGAGATATTAATTTGTATTTTGGTTTCTTTGGATTAAAATTATTGCATGAAAATTAATGCATGAAAGAAATTATCGTTTTTTATTACTAAGAGGTATGTTATTATTTATTTATTTATGTATGGACAATTAACTAAACTGAATTTTCAATAATGGGTATGAGCCCCTCTTGCTCTCATACGATTTGGCAACATCTCTCATACGATTTGGCATAGATTCAATCAAATTTGATATGTTTCTTGCTGGATGTTAAGCCACTCTTCCTCTACTGCAACAATGAGCTATGGAATAGAAGTTGGGGCTCTTCGTCTAGCACAAATTCTTCGTTTTAGCTCATCCCATAAATGTTCTATCGGGTTTAAGTCTGGACTGCATGCTGGCCATTCCATAACCCGAAAACCGACTTCTAAAATCTAATCGTGTACGATTCTTGATGTGTGTGCCCTCGCATTGTCATGCATAAAAGTGAATTCGTTTCTATGTAGTCGACGTAAGGTACCACATGAACTGCTAAAATCTCGTCAATATACCTAGCACCAGTTAAACTTCCTCTCCCGTGCCGACGCGACGGTCGCCCCAATGAATGAAAACTGGATTGGTTCGCGCAGTCATATAAATTGCACCCCAGATCATGCAGGAACCACCTCCATAAGCAATCCACTCCTCAATGCAGCATTCTGCGAATCGCTCACCTGGCCTCCGGTACACTTTTCTTCTTCGGTCGCTACCATAGAGGCATATCCTGGTCTCATTTGAGAATAAAACAGATTCCCATTGTTCTAGTATCCAATTCAGATGTTCCCGTGCAAAACACAGGCGTGCTTTACGATGAGCTGGGGCAAGTTTTGGACCAATTGCGGGTGTTTTGGGGGTCATGTTACTTTTCTTCAGTCTTCGTCTTACTGTCCACTGACTAATAGTCACTCCTCGTGTTTCAGGGTGTTGTTGCACCTGAATAGCATTAAAACGCCGATTTCTCAACATTGTTGACACAATAAAGCGGTCATTACGATCCGTTGTATGTTTCTTTCTACCAGTTCCAGGTCGCCTAC